CTGACAGAGACTTGGGGGTGACCAGCCTGGAGTCCATTCAGGATAGACTTTATTGCTGTGCAAAACCACTTGGCAGCATTGCTCTCTTCTCCCCGGCAACAAATGACAGCGCAAGAGCACATAGTGTGAAGTCGTTCCTCAGGAGGTTTAGATTAGATATTAGAAAAAATTTCTTCACCAAAAGGGTCATCAAGTGTTGGAACAGGCTGGCTAGGGAAGTGGTTGGGTCACCATTCCAGAAAGAATTTACTGGCATGTAGGTGTGATGTTTATGGACATGGTTTAGTGGTGGACTTGTCAGTGGTAGATTAATGTTTGTACTCAATGATCTAAACGATTTTTCTAACCTAAATGAACCTTTGTGAGTCATGATTCTGACATACATTTGTTACCAAAAATATTATCATCTGGGTTACAATTCAGGTAATTTTAAGGTCTCTAATTGATATTATTCCAGTGTGACAGAATGACAGCTACCTATAACAGAAATTATTTTATACTGTCTAATGTAAGATAAGGAAAAGAAAGCTCCAGGGTTTCTTAAATATCTCTCTGGATAACAGCAGTTTTCCCTTATATCAGAAATGAGGACATTTGAAATATATTAAGTAAGAAGCCTCAAAATATTTGTGTAAGACTGCCACCTCTTATTCATTATGTGGACTGCTAGAGATATAAAAGCATATGTAAACACCTTGAAGCACACAAAATAATAAAAAAAATTGAAAGACCGTAAGCATATGTTTGATATATTTGCAGTACATATTAGATGCTTTAAACATAAAAATAAAAAATACAGATGGGTTGACCATATGGTTTCACTAGGGCAAACACACACAAGTAAATATCTAATTCTTAGATGTCTTTCTGAGGACAATATTTTAATACAGATAAACAAAACCTAAGGGTTAAGGGGCATTGAAGGTATACAGTGGTATTTCTACAGTGGTCTACAGAGGGACACCAGCTGTAAAACCAGTTATCTCATTGGCAAAACAGTATGTAAGAATTTGTCCTACATGCTCATATACTGATAATATCATAGCACACATAATCCAAAAAAAGTAAATTATTTTTCATCCATGACTAAATATCAGTCTGGAACCAAGACAGCAGAGACAGCACGAAATAATCCCAAAATATAACTGCAGAGTCCAACTCAGTATGACCGGCAAATCCATGGAATAATGCATGATTTCAGCAAATCCCATCATCCAAAATAAACATTTGAATATGGCATCAATTTGTGACCACCAGATCAGGGTTTTTGCAACACAGCCAATCCAATATTCCAACCTATCAAAAAAATAAAAAGACTCACAAACCGGCAAAAGTTAGTGAGAAATGGTCAGTGAGATAAGAAAAGAATCAATCAAGGCAAGTATCTCTGACCAGCAGAAGCCCCATGAGCCATAGATATATTATTAGATAAGAGTTTTTTTTCTCAGTTTCGAATATTATTTCTTGCATTTGGAGATTTGGTCACATACATTGCTTTATGACTATTTTTATATAAAAATAAAACCTGAGAGTTCTGCATGAGGAGCAGTCTGGCAAACTGTATTTTATAGTGGGAGGTGCAGAGAGGATAGAAAAGAAGATCTCAAAGGTCAGTGCTTTAACTTTCATTGGACAACATACTATGTTTTCTGTACTACTTTTTGTTGGGTTTTTTGTTGGTCTTTTTTTCCCCAAAATTTTGTCCTATATGTTAAAAGAAACCAAATAGTTTTGTCCTGTTTCTCAGGCAGTTCAGCTGGGCAAATACTGTGGCATTGTGTTTAAATGAGCCCACTCTCTATGGGCAAAGCAAAGCTTCTGCTGACACTGGAGAGACAGAAAATGAACATTGCCTTTTGTAAATAACTCTTTTAATATGCAAGCTATTTTTATTTCATAACATCTGTAGCCAGTGTTTAAAATATTTTCGTCTTTATTCAGTACATCATACAGGCAATTGCTGAATTTTAAAAATGTGTGCAAACTTTCATTATTTTATAATTATATGTTTATGTTTTGTTTCATTAAGGGAACAGAAGAGTCTTCCTATCTGTTGAAAATGACCAACACTGCATGTTGATAAGGTCTGTGTGTGCAAATCTAGGTACATATCTTCAGATATAAACATAGGCAAAAAAAGTGCTGATCTACTTTTTTTTCTCTGGATTAAGTACCTTTTTATTAGAATAATCTATTTCAAGAGCAAATTTTTTGGAGGATAAGACATACCTTAGGAGGTTTTACTTGATTTTCAAGTTTGTAGCAAAATCAGAGTATTTATACTTCCAAGTATGAGTTTTCATTTCAACTGAAGAAACCCTGTAATGTTGAGGAATTAACAAAAGTCACGGTATTTGCAGTGGGACCAAGGGAAAAAGCAAAAGCTTCCATTGCAGCTTTTGGAATTAGAGGAACTGTCAGACAATCAGTGGAAGTAGGATTAACATTAGCAAGCAGCTGTTTTTAGTTGACCTTTCCATCACTGATGACACTATAACATTAATTCAGTTTAGCAGCTGACTGACATGTTGTATACAAGATATTGGGGATATACCAGAATTGTTGCTCCACAGGCAACAGTTAATATGAACAATAACAACTCTGTGGTGAGTAATAATAACAATAATGTCCTGCCAAAGCCTGGCAACAATGAAGATAAGAAGTATTTGGAAAATATTTTCATCTATTACAGAATTTCTTCTCAAAATCTGTCAGACCAGTTGGTTTTTGGTGACACAGAATCACAGAGAAGCTGAGCTGATACTGTGAGCAAAATTTACTCAGAATAGTAAAAAAACAAGGAATTTATTCAAGTTTATTCAGCCAGGTTCAGGAAATTCAAGCAAAGAAGGCATGTGATAGTGATACTTCATATTTCCAAACCCAGTAAATAGTATTTGTGTATGTGCTAAAAATCTTGAAATCATGTACTTTCTGGTGTTAAAACAACAATGCAGCCATCATATTGCATAGCTGGCTCCACTCACTCTAAGGCAGTGCCTGGGATTTACACAGTAGTTTAGGAACAAAATCAGTAAATAATTTCCAATTTCTCTCATCCAATATTGACATTTGCTCAGACTGTAATTTACCAATAATTCTCAAAGCATTTATAAATGTGAAGCTAATCTTCACAGTATTGTTATTAATCACTCAAAGAATTATTTGTACTCTTCAGTTCAAAACCCACTAGGCATATGCCCTTGCCTGATCTTGTATCTGCTCTTTTAGCAAATGCAAATGTCAGAAAATGAATAGGTGTTTCTGCTAAGAGAATCACTTGTTTCTTATTCTATATATTTAAATTGCTTTTAATCATCAACATTTCATATATAACACATCCTTTATCCCTCCCCGCTGCACACACGCTCTAAATTTAATTAAAATAACTGAAATGGAACTACAGATAATTTGTTTTTTAAATAGACTGCCACATGCTCCATTTACATAAAACCCATTAGTTTGCATTAAATACAAATTAGCTGCTGATATGAGTTAAATCACATATAAATAGTTCAGAATAGCCTCAAACCCACATGTTTTAATTAATATAACAGTTAACCAAATTTATCTGTAAGGTAATCAAGACTCTCACTCATTCATTCTTCAGTACAATTGGCCAGAGAATGAAGGGCTGTCCTGTAAAACTGTTATTTTACCAGCCAAATAAAGGCACAGAGAAGGCAGGAGAAATGCATGGATTCATGCATTTATAACAAATACATTGCTTGAAAATGATTCTGCAATTGCCGTACTAAAGGCAGTAAGAACAAAATCTATGTCGTGGGAAGAAAATGAAGATGCTAAAGAATCCTGAAGTCTTGAATGTCTAGTTGTAGAAAACTGGGGATATCATAACAGAACTGTGAAGACATTCTTTTCTTCTACCCCTTCTGAACATAAATGCAGAGTATAATATTACAAAAGAAAGATTTAAGACACTTCTCAAGAAATTGTCATACGATTAAAGTAGTCATTCAAAACACCAGGCTCCAACATTTCCCTCCAACAGCTAGAAACACCAGCAAAATAGTGTCATTCCTAGGTAATCATTTCCTCATCTTCCAAAATGGCTACAACACTTGATTTACATGTGAGTTCTGCAGTTAGTGAGCTTGCTGAAACAGAGCAAAACACTGCCAAAAGCTCATCTTAATGGCACCCTGCTAGCAAACGTTTTCTCAAGTTTATACCTACACAGGTCCATAAATGACATTCTGGCATATACTTCAGGAGCTTTGAAATTGCAACATATTTTGAGAAAGCATATATGTAAAGGCAACAGAAGTGGTTTCCATGAGCTCTTTACAGAAATTCAAAATTCACAAGACTAGAGGGATCTTTAAACAGTGATGTTAAACAAATCAAAGGAACAGGACCCCCCAGAAAGAAAAGCATGTCAAATTTAGTACCACTGAAATGAAAGAAAAAGATAGGCACAAAAAACAACAAAAAAAGTAGTTAGGTAGTCAGGCTGTATAAATTCTTTGGCAGAATAAAGAGCAATTGAAGTGGAAGTAATGTAGGAATTATACAGCCATTACAGGTTTTGGACAAGTTAGACTATCAGATGTCACAAATGATTCACATTGTTTTGCTGCTATGGTTACACAAGGGCAGAGACAATACTGAAAAACTGGACATCCAGTTTAATATCAAGTGTAAGAAGCTGAGCCACATCACTCTACGGAAAAGCCACATTTGAGCCATACACCACCTAGCAAGGTGAAGCCCTACCCATGCAAAATTTGGGCTGAAATTCATCTCTCAGACAGACAGTAGAAAAGTTCATTCCTGTATGAATGTTATAGCATTAAATCTGATCTTTAAGTCACTTAAAGTGACTTAGTCATGTTTATAGGAGATGGTCCTTGCATTTTTTTAAAAAAGATAATTGTTTTCAATTCCAAACAAAGGTGTATTAAATACACTGGAGTTTGACAAAAACATCAAAATGCCCTAACGGATTGTAGAATTCAACATGGTATATAAATACTTACATTTAACAGAAGGAGAATCTGATCTGATGTCTCTAATTTGGCATGCTCAAATATATACTCAAAGTAATTCTATTCTGTTCAGTCAGGAAGAACAGAGCATAATTAGCAAAGAATTAGTCATCCTAGATTCACTGATTCATCTTAGCAGTGTTTTACATAAAGTATTAATACACGGTGCATAATATGCTATGTGTCTTAATTTTTAAATGATTTAGGAATTTTAAATGCAAGTAAGGTTCTCTAATGTATTAACGATTGACACTAATATTCCAAAGAAATTCACAAAGATTACAATCAAAAACAATTCTTAGATGTTTAAATAAAAATGAGGAAAATATGCTACATGATAGGGTCTTTGAAAAGAAAGAGGTTCATTCATTATTCATATTAAAACAAAAAATATATTTAGTACCACATCTGTTTAACATGGATGTTCACTCATACATTTTGCTACCCATGGCAATGGAACAGTCTTAATTCCATTTGCATTCCTCCAGAGAGGTAACTACCCATAAAGACTGAGTAATTTTACCCAATGAATATAAATGAAATACACAGGGCCAAAACAGCTATTTTGCTTTTTAAAAGCCAGTTTTCACAGTAAATTATTCATTGCAAGAAACAGCAGGATAGGCTATGTCAGTTACATCAGTGTTGTACTGTATCTATTCCAAGGTACAACAGACTATTACAGGTGTGATGCAACACACCACAAAAGGTGAAGCATACAGACTCCCAAAACAACTAAATGTTTTCAATAAGCCAAATAACTAAATGTAGGAATATAAACGAAGCAATATCTAAGCTTTCTTGAAAACTGTAATCACTAGTCAAAGATCCAAGCCTTGAAAACTTTTTAGTACAGCTAATCAATGAAGATTTGTGAACTCATGACTATTCAGGACTGGGATCAAGTTCATTGAAAAACATTTTCAACTGTTTTTGCTGTATTTCAGCAAATAAATGTTCTCTCTCCAACTCTAAAAGCCAACAAAAATTATTATATGCTGTGGAAGGACACTTACATAGACTTGTTTCAGATTAATTATATTTTATAAGGTAAGGTCCTGTGAAAATCATTAGAAGCAGGTATTCCCTATCAGGTTAACATAGTTCTGTAATCAAGTAATAAGTATTCTGACTTCTATTTAAAAATTTGATTTTCTATTTTATAAATTTGATTCATGGTAAATTCTTAACACTCCAAACTAGCTTCTGAAATTCAGAAGTTTTGACAAAACAGAACTTCTAACAGTTATTTATTTTCCTCCACCATCCTAAAAATCCTTTTTTGCTATTTCATTGATTTTCCTAGAATATTGTAAGACAGGCTTCTCAAAGACCATGAAAAGAGACACAGAAGTTACTTCAACTGGCACTGACTCAAGGCCCTTCTATTTATACAGGCATCAATAAAGTAATATTTTAGTCAAATCTAGTTTCATTAAATGACATTGTAGATACAGTTTGCTCAGTTTTGAACAGAAGTTGCAGCGTAATTAGTAGCACTCAATGGAATAATGTAACTGAGGGACATATTGTTATTAATCAAATTCCAATATCAAGCTGGCTGCTGTAATAATGAGAGTGATTATTGACTGATGAACTGTTCAGCCTGGAAACTGACCCTAACTGAGTCCTATCTATACAAAAAGGAGCAAACATGCAGAGATCTCAAAATAACTTGTTTCTAGAACTTCCGAGATATAGATCCATGCCAGGTACTACAAAATGTGAGGCATTACATTTTCAAATAAAGAACAAAAATATGTAAGAATGTCAGGTACTGAAAATGTAAGTCTTCTTCAAACCAAAAATGCAAGATTTACCCTTTCATAGTCATGAAACTTTTGTGATAAATATTGAGAACTTACCCACAGTATGTGGGTAACTCCTACCAGTGTAAAAATGTCTTCTGTTTAGAATCTAAAGAGATCTTCATGAATTTTAAGTTTACACAGGTACCCACGGAGAAGTTAAAGCCAACTAAAAAATTGTGTGATTCTCACAATACTGAGGTGATAATCTGCCCAGTTGATGGTGTTTGTGCCATGTGTACATAGAACTATTATCTCCTCTGAAATCTGGAAGCAAAGCAAAGCAAAACAACAACCACAACAACAAAGAGAGAGAGGAGAGGGAGATTGGTTTTTTTTCCCACCTGGATTTCCTGAAAAAACAATGTGACATGCTTGTTGGCTTTGAATAGCTTCCCTCCCAAGACTTTCATTTTGAACTGGCAGTTTTCTATATTGCTTCTGAGTTGATCAGGGAAGGATCTAAAAATCATATTCAAGCAGAAATTCAGTCTGTCATCTAAATCTCATGGCTGCTGCAGCAGACCAGAAATGCTACAGAAGCGACAGCTCCTTCACAAGGACCTGGGATAAATGCAGCACTTCCAGAGAGCAGAATACAGGAAGAGCTTCGTAGTAGTAAGCACTGTAACAGAAAAAATCAAAACCAATAACAACAAGATTATGTTGTGAAAAATATTGCTATTATTAAACCAGCTGCTACAGGAAAGTATCCTTCTCCTTCTACTACTGTGAATAAGTATCTTAAACCTAAGTGTAGTGTAGTTTGGCAATGAGGTACCTCATCCTATCTCAATAATTTGTTCAAGTAAATTTGGGTGCTCAAATAAATAAAGTCTGCAGTGAGATTATTAACAATATTGACGTTTAAATTATGATTATTAGATGCCTGTTTTGACTTCCCACCAAGGTGTATCTGTTAAATCCTTGTTCCTAGCACATATGCGGATTTGTACAAACATGACATAATAGTTCCATTTTGAATCATTTCTATTCTTTTCCTTACACCCACAAAACTAAGGGCAAGAATGTGTTGTTTTTTTGTTTTTTTTTTTTTTTAAATAGCTTATGAATACATTCCAGCATAAAATTCTCTGGCAGAAGATTAATAAATGGGAAACTCATTATCTAAACTTTCATGGTCAACTGAAATCCATCTAAATTTATGGTCTCTATTTATCCTTGCCCACAGCTCAGTAGAGGTTTCAGGATCTTCCCTGGATCATTACATAGGATTTGCGATGTGGATTCGTGGCTGGATTTGAAGGTTTAAGGGGAGATTTTTTTTTTTTAACAAGTAAGGAATTACAGAGGTTGACAGGGATTATCTCTAAGGGTTTCTTTGCTAATATGAAAACAGAACTCTGGACTATTGTCAAAAAAGTAAAATAATATTTTCAGGCAGAAAAGTTTTTGGCTAGATAGTCCCTTTGGTTACAAATATGAAATGATATTATATTTAGATATATAATCTACAGAATTATGCTCTCCTCTGATTATACATTCTGTATCCAAATTTCAGCTACATTTGGACTCAATAGATTGACTGGCAGACTTTCCACATATTCATCTAGAGTGTTGGTTCATACATTGAACTTGGGATGAAAAATTAAAGTAGAGGCTATTTATTCTTATGGATTAAATTGCTTTATGTAACATGGATCCAATTGAAAAGAATGAGATCACAAAGGGGACAGTATCCAAGAGATCTTTCAGGATTTCACAGCAGAAGCAGTTTGTGTAGATTTTGATTTCAATAAATTTCCTTTCACAAAATCCAGACTTCTGCATTCAAGTTTTTAAAAATACCTGTATTTACACTCCATTATTTGAAGAAGGACAGATTTTTCCTTGGGCTCTTTTGCAATCCACTTTTACATTCCACTAGAAGAAGAATTGTAATGGTTAGTGGTTGTTTGAAATTTAATTTGCATTCATACCTGTTTCAGATGTTTTGAAACTTGATTTAATAACATTTATTGGCTTAGAAAATTTGAACCTTTCTTTTACTAGGGACTATGAATGAATGACTTCTCCCTTCATAGCAATCCTGGGGATAATGTTAGTGATTTTGGTTTGTCAGGAATTCACCTTGAATTTCCATATATTCCTAGAAAAAGGCACTCCTAAAATACTAAACACAGCAGCAAGTCATCAGATTCATCAAAGCCAGGAAACTATGGCCTGAAGGAAATGCACAGCTACTGTTCCTGTCCAGGGTCCAGGGCACCTTGCCCAGGGGAGGCTGTGAACCATTGAACTCCGCTGGAGCTTCCTACATTAAAAGCCATTCTGAAATCCTTGAAAAATTATCCTAATATTTGGGCCAACGCTCACCCCCCACTCTGCAGCAGCATTATCCTATTACAATCCTGGCTATCAACCGGCAAATGAAAAAGGAACTGAAAATTCTTCCTTATTTAATAACTGAATTCTCATTAACCAGTTGATATGATTTTTATCTAAAGCAGTTAACAGGGAATGCAGCTTGATGTTCCTCCTGTTATAAACCCACATATTCAGCCCATGCAGTTTATGATACATGTACAGATTTGGCATGGTCAGGCAAGAAGGCGTTCTTAGTTCCATTGCGCTCTTCTGTGGTATGGACCACGTGTGCAGAGCAGTGAAGGCTGTTTGGTTAAACAGGTTCATTGAATCAACTAAAATTCTGAAGCATTGTACAAGATAATAAGCTTGGAACACTGAAAAAAAAATGCAAAGTATACATTAAAATACATATATATATTTAAAAAAAAAAAGAGAAAGGTATAATCAACAAATTAACTTTAAAAATCAATAATTTTAAAGAAAGCCCATTAAATGGACTCACTGAATAATGTGGAATGTTTTCCTCCCTCTACATATAAAATGTAGTAGTTAATTATTATATCATATGAACCAAGAAATTCAATCTTTTCTGAATTTCTCAGTGAACTCAGATGGACATGTCCTTTAACTAGTGACCTGACATACGAACAGTATTCCACTGTATCCTTAATAGGTTAGATGGACATGTCCTTTAACTAGTGACCTGACATACGAACAGTATTCCACTGTATCCTTAATAGGTTAGATAAACATAATAATTATATTCTAAATTTATTCTACTTAGTAATTGTTACATCAGATAAACAAATTTACAGACTTATGACTAGAATACTGCCATTCAGTCCTTTAAAATACAAACCCAGATTTTTCCTTAACTGCTGTTTTAATCATCAGTGCACATTTATATACAACCTCTGTCATGAGAAACACCAAAAAAAGTATGCTAGGTGACAGTTAATTAGAAATGTGCCTTCTTAAGGCAATAATTCCATTTCTGATGCAGTTTTTGGTCTTCCTAAAGGCTTTTACATTTAACTAAATACATTGCTAAAGCCTTTTCTCCTTTCAGAACATAATTTTTTTCTGAAGTTACTTGGAATTCATAAAAGTAATAACTACTTTTTCATTATATTTTAAAATTTCCTTTTGCATTTTAGTTGAAGCTCTTTTTAAATCCATATTTCGCATCTAGTTTTTTAGTAAAACCTACAACTATCCAGTTTGTATAGAATATACAACTTGTAAAGTGATGCAAACTTCAGCAAATTTGACTTCTTTAGGGTTTTTTACCTCATCACAAGGAACCATATAAAATAATTACATCAATCTCATTACATACACAAGTAAATTTCACCGGGTTTAGTTCTTCAGATAACAATACAGATTTTTTGTGAAGAAACAAGAGGCTGTTCAAATTAAGACACAAAAAGTCCGATACTTATTTCACACACGTGTAAATGAGAAATAATGGTAATGAAGGAACAACTAAAAGCCCAACAAATATGTTGTGGTAGAATAGAAATTACTATTTTTGTCTCCTTTGTTGTCTATCTATCAATAATCATTTTATTGTTTGACACATTCTATTCTGATCAATCTCATCACATTATGGAAATGATGGAAATTATCTTCTTTACCAGAATAAAAATTTATCAAAACTTTAAAAATCAACCATAAATTCAGGAGATAAATAAAAGTGTACAAAAAAAATATGCATAGCTGAATAGAAACTAGTTTCTTATAAAAGTATTTCAGCATTTTCTTACCACAAATAAGGAATGAAAGGCTTAAAATTAGGAGTGTCTCCTTGAGAAAGAATCTGGATAATTTAGAATTAGTGTCTTCTTCAGTCCTTTAAATTAAAAATGTTTATTTGCTCAGGTATGGTTCAAAAATATAAGTAATGCCAAAATCTTAAAATTGTACAGTCACCTAGACCCCTAGAAATGTAAATTTCTACATTTTCCATGCTAGCAAGATAAATCTTTACTGAAACTGTACCTTCATAGGATGAATAGAAATTTTCCTTACAATATGTGTTTTTATGCAACAGCTCTAGGTTCTTTACTTGTCTAATGTATAAGCCCAAAGCACACAAATTTATGTTTGGGATTGTCTTTTTAATTCACACTATTTTAAGTACATATTATCTCTACCTCCATGATTAAGCTTTGATTTCAGCAGCTTCAGTTCTTTCTTTTAGCTGATTCAATAAAATAAATATGCAAGTTCCAGAGACCAAAGCATTCCTGGGTGTTGTATAACAGTGTACACACAACCTGAATGCCTGAAGATAGTCCACTAATAAGTAACTTGTAAATACCTCTATGAGCCAATATTGTATACATACCAACATCTCTTACCCAGTTCACACATAACTGGGTTTTTGCATTTGGTCAAATACTACTAATGAGGAAAACTATTGCAATTTACTGATATTTTTCTGCATAACTACTTTCAGACTATAATATTTTGGTGAATAAAGTATATTTTGTTTCAAAGAAACCTGCTTGTGTTTTGTCATTTATATTTTGCTTAACACTTTATGTAATATTATATGTTCCTTATGGGATGATTTGTCACATATTTTCATTTTTTGATGTAAACATTGCTAAATCTGTAAACAATTTTTGTCTGTTTCAGGTATCGGCATTAATGAAGTTGATATCTAATTTAAAAGGATTAAACTATAGTTTTTCTAATATTGCCATATTTTGAAAAATATTTGACATGGCCACATATAGATAAAGAAACTGCCCCATCTTTCTATGCTACAGTAAGGAGGTAGTCAGTTGCAGTTTCTTACCTGAATGAGTGTCATGACTTTCTCAAAGCATCAGAGACATGACCACTGCAGGGGGAGGGGTTGGCCCTTTTCCTTGGGGCAAGGAATTTGTGCCCTCTCTTTTGAAAGACAGCAGAAACTGCAGACTTCTAGCTCTGATTCCTTCACTGGTTTTTCCACAGGCTCCACCCATTTCCCCAGCAGAAGTTCCATATCTCTTCCTCCCCATTGTGAAAGCCTTAATGCTACTCTGTTTTGCACTTTTCCTTTTGTCTTAACTTGGAAAATCCTAAAACGGTTGATATGTTACGTGTCTTTTTATAAGCAAAAAGCATGAATCTCCTCTCCTCTCTCTCTGTCAAAATATTCTCTACTTGCCCACCAAATATCCTGTATAACTATAGCCCAACATCTCAAAATATGAACCTTGTAGTAGGCTATGCGCAGGCTGAATAATATGATAGGTATAACTCCTGTCAGGACATTTCAAAGAATATGCCATAGCTTATTAGTGATATTAAGCAAAAAAGCTTCCACACATTTCAGAATTTTTCAGCAGAAACTTGTTTTTGTTTATTCAATACTGACAAAGTTTTAACAGAAACTTCTATGCTAAGTTTTCATATGAGCTATGAACCTAGTCTGGTAGTTACTGCTGAAGTTGCATTTGTTTTATCTTTGATGGCCTAGCCGAAATTTCAATTATACAACACACACTTAAATTTCATTTTGTTGTCAGGCTACCTTGTAACACGCCAGGCACAGATGGTCTGGCCTGGTGTCACGTCAGGATCCTCGGTGAGAGGTCCTCAAAATGATGGCAAATAAAATGAGGGACAGGCACAGTTAAGTAACCCAAAAAAGAATAGTTTAATAGCAAAAACAACAAACCCATAAGCCAAACAACAGTATAGGTGCTCCAAAAAGGCGAGGGCAAGGGTAGATTACAAATTTCTGTAAAGTAGGTTAGCGGCAGAGTCTGAGGGGAAGGGTCCAATAAAAAACAGGGATAAGGAATTTGTAAAACATTGCACCAAGTTCTAAGCAATAGTAACAGAAAAACTATTGAACTTTCTAGTACTATTAACATATAATTTTCCAGGAGCCATTGTGGGTGAGCTTTTGCTCACCCCAGCTAAAGGTGATACTTCTTTCACGGGCCTGGGGCAAAGTCTCTTGCCAATCCTTTGCCCTGATGGACTTCAACCTTCACTCACCAATTTAGTGTGAAATATTTAACCACACGTCTTTAAATTTTTAAATTAAATTAAATTTAAATTAAATGCCCTGCATTTCTAATCTTCTACCAGCCTCATTATAAACAACAATATCATCTGATTATGAGAACACAAAGAAGATTCCATAAGGGAAAAGCCTTGAGCAGCCAGCCACTAATGCATTCTTCTCACTGTGATATTTGGCCTATTGAAAAGTTTGTCCCTTGGAGGCATTTACTTCAAGAGCAGAGCAACATTTGGGTAACTCTATCCCTACCTGTGTTAATATCTTCAAGACAGATCACACTGAGACCTGCACAGTTACATGCACTTACATCAACTTTCAAGATTCTGTCTGGATATGTCTACCTACAATGGTCCAGGCTCATAGCCTTTTAGAGTTGTATCATATTTTCATCAACTGAAAATGATGTCATCCTGACTCCATACATGATGAACATATATGACATTTTCTAATTTTTAGCTAGTGATTGAAATTAGAAAAACATTGCCCTTCTCTTGCAACTACCTGCTAGTGGGCCTTCCATCATGA